CTCTCTACACTCACCACACTCCCTACACTCTCTACACTCACCACACTCCCTACACACGCCACACTCCCTACACGCACCACACTCCCTACACTCCATACACTCACCACACTCCCTACACTACCCACCCTCACCACACTCACCACACTACCCACCCTCACTATACTCACCACACTCCCTACACTCCATACACTCACCACACTCCCTACACTACCCACCCTCACTACACTCACCACACTCCCTACACTACCCACCCTCACCACACTCCCTACACTCACCACACTCATCACACTACCCACCCTCACCACACTCACCACACTCTCCACACTCACCACACTCCCTACAGTCACCACACTCACTACACTACCCACCCTCACCACACTCACCACTCACCACACTCACCACACTCACTACACTCACCACACTCCCTACACTCACCACACTCACCATACTCACCACACTCTCTACACTCACCACACTCACCACACTCCCTACACTTACCACACTCACCACACTCACCACACTCTCCACACTCACCACACTCACCACACTCACCACACTCACCACACTCACCGCACTCCCTACAGTCACCACACTCACTACACTACCCACCCTCACCACACTCACCACTCACCACACTCACCACACTCACTACACTCACCACACTCTCTACACTCACCACACTCACCACACTTTCTACACTTACCACACTCACCATACTCACCACACTCACTACACTCACCACACTCACCACACTCACTACACTCACCACACTCACCACACTCCCTACACTCACCACACTCCCTACACTCCCTACACTCACCACACTCACCACACTCCCTACACTCACCACACTCACCACACTCACCACACTCCCTACACTCACCACACTCACTACACTCACCACACTCACCACACTCGCCACACTCCCCACACTCACCACACTCCCCACACTCACCACACTCCCCACACTCACCACACTCCCTACACTTACCACACTCACCATACTCACCACACTCTCTACACTCACCACACTCACCACACTCCCCACACTCACCACACTCCCTACACTCACTACACTCCCCACACTCACAACACTCCCTACACTCCCCACACTCGCCACACTCACCACACTCCCTACACTCACTACACTCACCACACTCCCCACACTCGCCACACTCACCACACTCCCTACACTCACTACACTCACCACACTCCCTACACTCACCACACTCCCTACACACGCCACACTCCCTACACGCACCACACTCCCTACACTCCATACACTCACCACACTCCCTACACTACCCACCCTCACCACACTCACCACACTACCCACCCTCACTACACTCACCACACTCCCTACACTCCATACACTCACCACACTCCCTACACTACCCACCCTCACTACACTCACCACACTCCCTACACTACCCACCCTCACCACACTCCCTACACTCACCACACTACCCACACTCACCACACTCACCACACTACCCACCCTCACCACACTCACCACACTCTCCACACTCACCACACTCCCTACAGTCACCACACTCACTACACTACCCACCCTCACCACACTCACCACTCACCACACTCACCACACTCACTACACTCACCACACTCCCTACACTCACCACACTCACCATACTCACCACACTCTCTACACTCACCACACTCCCCACACTCCCCACACTCACCACACTCACCACACTCACTACACTCACCACACTCACTACACTCACCACACTCCCTACACTCACCACACTCCCTACACTCCCTACACTCACCACACTCCCTACACTCCCTACACTCACCACACTCCCCACACTCACCAGACTCACCACACTCACCACACTCCCCACCCTCACCACACTCACCACACTAACCACACTCACTACTCTCACCACACTCTCCACACTCATCACACTCTCCACACTCACCACAGTCACCACACTCACCACACTCCCTACACTACCCACCCTCACCACACTCACCACACTAACCACACTCACCACACTCTCCACACTCACCACACTCACCACACTCGCCACACTCACTACACTACCCACCCTCACCACACTCACTACACTACCCACCCTCACCACACTCACCACACTCCCTACACTAACCACACTCACCACTCTCACCACACTCACCACACTCACCACACTCACCACACAGGGGTCGTGACCCCTGCCCCCCCCCGCGTCTCTCCGCTCACCTTCATCGACCTCCGGGTGTCGCGGCCTCCTCCTCCTCGCCCCCCTCCCCCCGCCCCTTCACCCTCCCCCCGCCCCTCTCCCGCACTGGGCAGCTCGGGCAGCTCGGGCAGCCGAGCGGGAGGGCAGCGTCAGTCGGGACCCCACCGGGTCCCGCACTCCGCCTCCTCACAGCTCATCCTGATCCCCCCCCCCTTCTCCCCCCCTGCTCCCCCTCCTCCCCCTTGCTCCCTCTTGCTCCCCCTTGCTCTCTCCTGATCCCCTCTCCTGCTCCCTCCTGATCTCTGCTGATCTCTCCCGTTCCTCTTGGTGCCCTGCTCTCCTCTGCTCCCGACGACTCCTGCTTCTTACCCTGCTCCCTCGACGTCCTCCTGCCTACTCCCCCTACTCTCACTGCTCCCCCTTGCTCCCCCTTGCTCCCCCTTGCTCCCCCTTGCTCCCCCTACTCCCACTGCTTTACACCGCTGCTCCCCGCTGCTCCCCACACTGCTCCCCCTTGCTCCCCCTACTCCCGCTGCTTTACACCGCTTTACACCGCTGCTCCCCGCTGCTCCCCCTTGCTCCCCACACTGCTCCCCGCTGCTCCCCACACTGCTCCCCCTTTCTCCCCCCTACTCCCGCTGCTCTACCAGCTGCTCCCCGCTGCTCCCCCTTGCTCCCCACACTGCTCCCCCTTGCTCCCCGCTGCTGCGAGGAGTGGTCGAGGAGGAGGAACGCGTCACGTGTCCCCCCCAGGCAGCCCAAGTCCAAGTCCAGCTGGTGCCGGAGCCGCTGGGGCAGAAGCTGTCGGCCTGCCTGGCGCGTTCCCCGCTCTTTCACAGCAGCTGTAGTTGTAGCAGCAGCAGCTGTAGTAGCTGTAGCAGCTGTAGTAGCTGCAGCTGTAGTAGCAGTAGTAGCTGTGGCAGTTGTATCAGCAGCTGTAGCTGTAGCAGCAGCAGCTGTAGCAGCAGCTGTAGCTGTAGCAGCAGCAGCTGTAGCAGCAGCAGCTGTAGCAGCAGTAGCTGTAGAAGCTGTAGCTGTATCAGCTGTAACAGCAGGAGTATCTGTATCAGCTGTAGCAGCAGTAGCAGCTGTAGCAGCAGTAGAAGCAGCTGTAGGGCTAGCAGCTGTAGCTGTAGTTGTAGCAGCTGTAGGTGTAGCAGCAGCAGCTATAGCAGCTGTAGGTGCAGCAGCAGCAGCTGTAGCAGCAGCTGTAGCTGTATCAGCAGCAGCTGTAGCAGCAGCTGTAGCTGTATCAGCAGCAGCAGCCGTCTCTCCGTGTCTCCGTGTCGGCGTCTCCGCTGAGCCGAGTCGCGGTTCCCACGGGGCGGGGTCGAGTCTCTGGGTTTAATCAGCCCCTCGCGTGACGTCACCGCCAGGGGCGGGTGGGGGGGGGGGTGTTCAGGGGGGGGGGGGGTGTTCAGGGGGGAGAGGCGGGGGACGTGGTTATGGTAATGAGGGGGGCGGGGTTATTGTAATGAGGCTGAACTCGCACGTGCGCGTCTTTGATTGACACCACGAGAACGGGGCGAGGTGCGTGGGGAGCAGTGGGGGAGGGGGGGGGGCTCTAACGATACTCGCTCACCCAGGCACTCACCC